AACGTGGAAAGGCACGTAATGTCATCTGGAAATCAAACATTAATGTTGTTTCCATGACAATGCAGGCCTATTGACATTAGGGGGGTTCGACCGCTGTGTGTTGTGAGTACTGTATAGGCCTCATATTTCTGTGCCTTTTGTGCCACAACGTGAACGGAATAGAGGAGTAAGTATGAACCCAATACGTTTTTGACCCACCTCTGCTTTCCTCGGTTCAGAACCCACTTAAATATGTTCTCAGAATAGAGGGGGGTGATCAAGACAAGGGGTTTTTTCTCTATTTACCCGTGTATGAAAAATATCTGGCTAAATGTGTAATAATGTAGGATGACTGTATAGATTTATAGCATCTCATGATTGGTAGTTTTTCCTTATTATCTGATCTGTATCAACTGATAACTACTGATTTGGGACTATACAATAATAAATGGAATTGAATTGAATTGTTAACACCTTTATCATAATTTCTTTCTTTTTTTTTTAAACATGTAAACTGTATATATTGTCTAGTTGCAGCTTAATTATGTGAGAGAGCCCAACCACCAACACCCCACCCCTTTCCTTTCCTTTCCTTTGTCAATTTTCTGAAACGCATTAGACATAGGGCCTTTCTCAAATAATAATAATAACACGATTAAATGAGTTCATCACCAATTGGCGCAATTAAAAAGACAACAACTGAAAAAAATGATTCATGCAGTCGAGGCAAATGAGGTGCTGTATGACGGGAGGGGGGGGGCACGTCTGTCTGCCTGGGCTGGGGGCTGCAGCATAAATGAATAGAGAAAGGGCCTCATTCTGTCTGCTCCATTGTCTTTAATGTCATATTCCTGTGTTTCCAGTGAGCAGTGAAGAGGCACAACGCAGCGGCGAGGCTTTGAGCTGTGTATTCACCGTCCACAATACAATCATGTGCTTTCAGATCTATTCTACAAATTGTGTGAGAAGTACATTTCTCTACACTTTCTGACAATGAAGATTAAGATTACGATTAAGAGAGCGCTCAGAGTGGGGAAATGTCAGTGTTGCATCACAGGGGACTGGACAGTAGGAAGGAGAAGCACACAGTGAAAAGGTAAATGTTAAGTATATCACAATGCTATACTAAAAATTGTTATCTTTAGCCCAATAAAGAATACTCTAGTGCAAAGGATATATACTTGTATGAATTTGATACTTAACTCTGCATATTTTCTTTCATGAAGTATAAATCTATGAATAAATCTCTACTAAGGAGAATATTGAAGTAATAAATCCTTTTCCCCGTGGGTTCAAATATTCACAGAGATGACACTATATGTAAGCAGCATGAGGCTCTGGGCTTAAGATCCTTTGTTGAAGTGTTGTAACCACAAACATGGATGTATATCACAAAGGAACAGAGGAAGTCCAAGTGGGTTTTAACCTCAAGTTTTTAGAGACATAGGTTTTATAATGTGGCAGAATGTGGTTGCTAAGGGATTTTTTGACATCACTGAGGAGTATTCACTGTAACAGCGACGCACATTTGTTGCCAAGGGCTCTTTAGCCAGTGGAGGATGTTTTGTTATTACTTTTAGCCAATGCCTGATAGAGTTGAGCAATGTTGAGGACAGCAGCGCAGATATGGAATTATAATGTAAATATTGTTATATTTTTTAGCCTTTTGTTTAATCATCAACCCTCCACATTTTCAGTCAGTGGTGAATGCATTTGCTTTAGTTTGTGACATACACTGAGAAAATTATATAAAAATGTATATATTTTCAAACATACAATTCTCGGACACTGAGGACAATGACTAGTTTCAATTATTAATCAGTATTTTGGACTCTCAAAACTGCTTAATCATACACATGAAGCTACGAATGTACGGTTGCCCTGGGGTTGAGCTATTAACAGAGTAATATTAACATTCATTTGCATATACAATGGTTAAAATGCTGAGTGGATTTACTACAGATCGAAGAGTCAGCGGGCTGTGATCCTATAACATAATGACCAAACAATAGTGCAGAAAAGCCAATAAAGTGATAATTTTGGCAGGCTTTTTTCTGGGTGTGTGTGAAGAGCACATTCTCTGATTTTTTAATGAGATTTTATCCATAAATTGAAGGACATACCTTTTTCATTTAATTATGTGAAGAATAGAGGGACAATAGGTCTGGAGCTGATGAAACCCTGGGGGGAGTTGCAGCTCCACTGCACAGGACTAAGGGGCCTATCGTTGCCAGAAACTATTACTCAATAAAGCTGCTACCCCCAAGGAGAGAGGGGGTCATGCCATGTTTAGCTCTGTGCAAAACCAACCATGTGACAATTGTTATGAGCAGCAATCACGACAAGCACAATGAGAAGTACATTGCTCAGAATAAAACTAAATAGACACGAGGCAACGTTTTGAAAATGAATGGGCTGTATTAAATTATTGTAAAATCCTAATTATGGTTATGTCAGTCTCCTACTGATGAAATTGAATCACAATTATAACCTTGATCAACTGCACAACCCTGATTTATTTCCTATCTTGATGTTTATGCTTGACTAAAGTAATAGTATAATATTTTTTTAAAGTCCACAGGCCTCCTCCGACACAGAGCACAGAGGTCAGGTCTCCTCAGGTCACGGTCATGTGTGCTGCTGTTCACTCAGACCAGGCACTTAAGCTGTCCGTGTGTTAACACTGAAATAGTGCATACAGTACTGCAGACACACATTTCACTGTTTTATCTCACCATACATATCTGCAGTGACTCAGAGACTTATCTGGGGCCAAGAGGATATGCAGGAGCCATCATTCCACCTCAGCTGCTCAAAGGAGCAGCGGCTCTACTCTGAGACGATTCACTTTAGAACAGCCGAACTCTGGGTGTGTGCATTTGTGTAACGCTTAGATCGTTTTGTGTGGTATACTGTTTAATGTTTTGTGTTGTGTATTCATCCTTGACTGTTGTAATTTCCGTCACCACCAACTATGAATTATTTCATTCATTAAAATTAATGGAAGAAAATATCTGCTCTTTACAACAGTAACGGAATGTATTTAGGCTGTAAGCCCTGCATTTGTGGAATATGGAAGAACAAAAAATATTAGCACAACCTGAGAACATAACGATAGAGGGCGTTGAATTAAACGATGCTCTTCCTCGTATCAAAGGTGGATCCTGGATCATACAGAATATGAGCGGTCCGTGCTCTGTGCAACTCTGCTGCCACCATGTGTTAACAAAAGAGACTAGCTACAATTGGTACTATCTGAATGTGGATAAATACATGAGCCATTTATTATTATTGAGTTAACATAATGATGAAAGTGTATATGTTACTTCATGGTGTGTTTTGTTCGTTCAGGTTGTGTGCACATGTGGAAGAGTGAAGATAAGGCCTAATGAGGATTTTCTAGTTTTGCCTGGAATGGCCTTTCAAAATGTTGACAAATAAATGACATAAACCTTAGCAACCCTCATGTAAACGATCAAGTGACGAAAACAAAAATGTTGTAACAAGTTAGAACTGGGCCAAAAAAATAGTCAAATCGATTTTTTTCTTGGGTTGTTTGAACCTCTGTTATGAAAGATCCCATTCAAATAAAACATATTATTATCATGTGCTTTATTATTTTTTGTGTGAAATTGACCTCTGGCGATATAGGCAAGGCAAGGCAAGTTTGTTTGTATAGCACAATTCATACACAAGGCAACTCAAAGTGCTAAAAAGTGCGAAGCAATAAAAATTA